ATGTACGTAACCATTACTGTTAATGTGGTGCAGCCACTCCGTTACGTACATGAATTGATTCTTTTTCCATTACTGTTAAGGTGGTGCAGCTACTCCGAAAAGAGAATCAATTCATGTACGTAACCATTACTGTTAAGGTGGTGCAGCTACTCCAAAAAAATAATCAATTCATGTATGTAACCATTACTGTTAAGGTGGTGCAGCTACTCCGAAAAGAAAATCAATTCATGTACGTAACCATTACTGTTAAGGTGGTGCAGCTACTCCGAAAAGAGAATCAATTCATGTACCGAACTATTACAAGTTTGAATAAAATATTCATAGCCGTTTTTTTCTGTAGGCTTGTGAAATAAGAATAATGATAATAATATGAAGAACAAAAGGGTGGATTATGTCTATCAATCTTTTAGCAGCTTTAGCCATTGAGATAGAAAGTCTTAGGTGTTGTTTCAAGAACAAGCCTGCTTTTGAAGATGGTTTTTGTCCATATGTTCTATTAGAATTTTTGTGAAATTCCTGGGTGAACCCCTATTGTGGTTCACGATACCAGGCTATTAAGCATTTCCTTTCCAGATGTTGAATTTGTTTTCTATTTAACATTGTTTACTTTATATTAGTCATTCACTACAAACGTTATTAAAAATCATGCAGAATATATTCAATTCTTAAAAACTAATATAAATTATTTACTTGTATTAAATGAAGTAATAGTATACAACTTTATATGAAAGATGGTTAGTTTATGAAAAAAAATATCTAATTTTCAATCTTTTTGTAGACACTTTAAAAAAACATTTACCCTTTAACTATTTTTGATATATTGGTCTTATTTGGTTAGATTTTAGATTAAAAACCTAAAGTAACACATATCTTTCAGTTTGATGACAATTTAAGTTCCTTTAAACATTTTAAAGAAAATATTTTTTTTTGCAAAAACAAAATTTTAAAACATTTAAAAGAAGGGCATAAATACTGAATAGAATTCACTTTCTTTTGTGAAAATTTTCAGATATAAAAGTATTAAATCAATAACTGAAAAATGTGATTAACTGGATTTGGAACACTTGGTTTTGGTGTTTTCAGAATTCTTCCAATAATACAAGTACTACAACACTTAAAAATACTTAAATGAAGCATATGGACTGCTTACTGTCTTAGAGGGCTCTAGAATTTCTTTCCTATTACAATCAGAAAAAAAATCCTTGCAAAAGTTTTCTAATTTGTAAGAGTGTATCTTGATTATCATTTTAAATCTACATAAACTTCTAATAAACTTTTAAAATATATGTAATTATGCTTACCAGTATTTTTTTAGTCATCAGTGAGAATTCAACAAATGACAGAGAGAAAAAAATATCTGGTGTGTGTAACTTGATAAACTTCATTTTTGCTGTAGCCAGTCTTCAGTCATGTAATTTATTATTCTGATGTAGTAAAGTTCTCACCAGAATTCAGAGTCAAGACACACACACGTGCATTACTGTAGTTAAACATTCTCACCAGAATTCAGAGTCAAGACACACACAATGCATTACTGTAGTTAAACATTCTCATCAGAATTCAGAGTCAAGACTTTAACTACAGTAATGCATGTGTGTGTTATCAATGGTATTCTATAAATATATGAATTCTATAAATCTTATTCTTAAATATTTCCTTAAAAATATTTTTTTATATCTATATCCTATATAACTATTTTCGTAATATATGTAAGAAAATTTCTTCATACACATATTCTAGAAAACTGAGACTTTCCCACTCAAACAGATGCAATAATGTAATACAGGGATCATAACAGAGTATTGATTTTATTAAATGATAATTTTGTCCCCTTTTCAAGATCATAATGAATTTTAAAACAAATGGAAACTAGGTGGCACAGCAAATGTTGACTGCTCTAGTTATTAATCACAATCCTGATAACCTCCCATCATGTTGTGCTAATACATAAATTTTGCTTAGTTTTAAAATAGCCATTTAGGAGGGGGTTGGCTTTGGCATATTGACTGTACTATGACTGTACTTGTTTACTGAATCAATTTCATAAGATTTAGCTAAAATAAATACTGAGACCACACACAAATACATCTCATAAGTTCAAGGATAATTTCTGATATAAAAACATTCTTTATTAACCATGTTGTGTATTAAATTATAATTCATGGTTGTAATGAAATGGAAAGTGAAGGTTCCTTACAAAGAATGTTAAAGGTACAAAAATTCAAAGTGAAAACAATACGGCCAAAATTAAACTTGGTGGTTCTAAAACTGTGTATACCTACAGGATTAAAATGAAATATCTGGTGTGATCATTACAACTATTTAAAAGCTAGTTATAACACTCACAAAGAAAAAAAATGCTGGTGAATGCAATATTCCTTCTTAAGACACTTACAAAAATTGTAGAGCTAATTTACAGAACAGAATATTAACCTACAGACCTAACTTTTTAAATAAAGTATGTTCACATCTGTCTTAATTTCCTACTTGCTGTTACTGACATTTGAGCTGCTGTTTTAGGAATGAAAAACAAACTAAAAGTCTTGTTGATTCATGTGTGTCTTCAAATTCATGTGCAAATTTATTGAAGAAACTGCTCACAATTCATGAAATTTAGTTAGGTCAGAATTATTTTATAGTAAATGAGAATCTGTAACATATCAGCTATTATTGTGGGAAAATAGTTTATATGAACTAAGAACAACCAACACACACACACACAGTTGCTAAACAACTATTATTATTCAAATAAAAATACAGAATCTTTCAAACATGCTTACATAACTATATTTAATGCTCTCTAAATAAAATAAAAAATTTAAAAACACTGGTATAAATATTCTGGTAAAGTATATGCAACATGCATTGCTGAAATCCTAAGGCATCCTTAAAATATTTAGTAAGTTAGTTGGTACATAAAATTGTGTATAAGTTTATAACTATTCCAACTGAACTATCACCATCTTCAAAATCACAAAAAAAATATTTAAAACTATATAAATCCCACATATATAATGGTGGATTTGGTAGTAACACATAGTGGTATAACAACTTATTCATGAAAGAGTGTACCTGATTATTATATTACACGATTATGTTTGAATATGTGCGAAAGTGGCTTCATGAACATGTTTGCATCATTTATTTATCATAAAGAGAGCAAATATAACAAAAATAATCTATTTAATAGAAAGTTAAAATTTAACATGATTTGAAACTGTTTCCAAATAACCAGACATATGTACCTTGAACTATTATTTGGTAATAACGTCACCAGTACTTTACCAATTAATTCAACTGGCTAAAACATCTACCTAATCTACAGGGAATCCTTTAGATTCTGCTTCAACTTCTCCAAAATTCCAGCTATGGCTATAAAATGTTTTATCCTTATATTCAAGTAAATATTACTCAAAGTGATCATAGATTTCCACTATTAATCAGAAATATTTTCTTGAATTTTTTGTCATTTATATATGGCTCTAATTAGATGCAGACTCACAAAAATCCATACAGGTGGGAATTGGAAAAAAATCACAAACAAGTAAAACAACACTTCCTGTTACCTTGTACTGAAATGGCTTTTAGTTACACCATAATTCAGAAAATAAATCTAAACATAAGCAAAAATGTAACAAACGTAAAACAATTTATACATATAAAAATCAGGCAAAAAGTTACTTCTTGTCAAATGATATAAAACAAACTAAAAATTGGATATAAAATGTAAAGCACCTTACACTAAAATGTTGCAATTATATATTCATTAAATCGGGGAAAAACAAAATTCTTAATCGAGAGACATTTTTAGCTGATGAAAGATTGGCATCTAAAATGTAATCTGGAGGATTCACATCTATAATATCAAAAAGTTTTCCTCTGCTGTCAACTTGTAACCCTGCTATTCATATAAAATATATTGTTTCTGTTAAGTTCTTTAATACATACCTTATGATCTTCCATACACTACCTTAGGTACTTATATACATTCGATGATATAAAATTCTATAGAAAACTCTAAGTTTAGTTCATATATATATCTCCATAACACACTGTAGTATCAATTATCTTATATATGAAGTTAAGTATTTCACCATCCCCTAATATCAATATTGAAGCAACTTAAAATACATATAAATAACACTCCATTTATACAATACTTCAAGAAAGTAAAAAACAGATATTTGTTTTTAAATTCATACATAAAATTGATTACATGAAATTAAAATTCTATTTGAGTCTAAAAAAACATTTCCTACAATAACCAAAAATACCAGTTTTCCAAAAATCTCCATTTACAAATGTCTATGGTTGATATGTATTCAATTTATATGAACTCATAGTTCTACATTTCTAAAACATTCTTACACAAGTGCAAGGTAAGTTTTTGGTCATTTTAACTTTGTAAAAGAATTATAAGAAATTAATTTTAGCTTATAGAAACTTTGTATATAAGGCACTGATGATATGTAGTCATAACTACTTGAACACAGAAGAAAAATTATTTCTGTAAAAAACAGTGGATTTAAAAGTTGTGTAACCTTCACAAATATTTAATATTTAAAAAATAATTTTTAAAAGCTTAAATTTCCTTTAAAAACAAATAAAAACACTGATAATTAGACTTAATATATAGTTTCAAAATTATTTAAACAATGCGGCTATAAATAATTCCAATGGTTAGTAGTATTTTCTTAATTTTTAACAAAATTCCTCAATTATATATGATGATTTTACATCATAAGTGTATACTTTTTTCTTTAATTTATTTTCATACCAATAACATTATTTTCAATATTTAATATAAATTATTCTTTTCAATGTGACAAAAATATAATATACCCATAAAAGATTTTCTTCCAAGGCATCTTGTTCTAAGAATTAATAATTCGTAGATCCTTTACTCATTCACACATCTCTATAACTAAACACCTATGCTGAAATAAAATCATTTAGCAGTCATGTTTCATGAGTCAGCTGTCTCTTAGATAGCATTAAGGCAAGTTAAATTTGCCAACAATACAACACTAAATGTAACAAATTATTATCAATTAAGCCCAAGTACATGAAAACTACAAATACAATAATTCAGAGCTTATTCAGAAACTAATAGCTTCTTGTTCATTTTTAGCTTCAGATATTCTTCAAGATTTGAGTGACTAACAATATAAACTTTGACGAGTATTTTAACACAAGAGCCAATCAAATAATATTATTATTGTAACTCTTTGTAAATGCTGTACAGATCCTCATATTAATTTGAACACTTCTCACCATCTGACTTGTTCTTTAGTTTCATTAAAATTAGAAACTTCCAGCATATTACATTAAAAACAACCCTATAGCTACCACCAATATATATATATATATATGCTAACAAAATACATTTACATAAATCATCTACATGTGCTACTTCAAAGAATTATTTATTTACGTAGCTAAGAAGCTTATGTTTCAAGGTAAATTTAAGCTAAAATTACAATCTGAATCTAAGCTAGACAAAAATGTATCTCCAAAATATACACAGAATAAAAAATATAGGGATGCTATATTAAAAACAAACAGAATAATTGTTACTTTAGCATGAAAAATGTAAAACCTGTCCAATGTGACAACTGTCACTGTACTTAAAATAATGTTTATTTATAACATAGCATATATAACAATGTGATCCAATGCACATGATCTACCATGAGTAACAAAATCATTTCTCAAGATAGCTTTATTTCTTGTACTTTATTTTACCCATTTGATATTTATTTTCATTCACCATTATTTTCTCCAGCCTTTGAGGCTTCATAGCAGATCATGTCAAGTTAAAATGAATATAATTAAATAGTTTGTGTGGACAACCTCACATAAGACTGAACAAAAATAATGGGTTAACTCTTATGTTGTGGTTTAGGTGTAGAAGATAAAATGGGTTGTCCTGCAATGTAGCAAAAGACTTCCACACACATATCAAAAAGTATTTAGTAGTTAAAGAGCACCACCTGGAAGATTTGAAACTTTCAATTGACTGAATATTTTATTCTTCGGGTATAAGGCACTACTTTTCATACAACTGTATTTGGCAATTTACTTTCATAAATTTACAAGTTTCTGAAAATGGCACAGAAGAAAGGTGCAAAACTTCATAGTGAAATTTATTAATGTGGAGAGTGTCAAATTTTCATACTTTCGAATGCTTGTTTTGCTTCTTATTCTGCCAACATTTCTTATCAGGTTTTTTAAAGTATTTCTTATATTTGTTACAGTACCTTATGTAATTATGATATGTTTATCTCAGAGACATGTTAATTTGAGTTATAGTGCAAGTTACACCTGAGCTGTCCTGAGTATTAATACTTCACAAAAACATCCTGGATTTATTTTTTACCCACTCTTTTTTTTTCCATAGTTGCTTGTGAAATTTTTAAATAAATTCTGTGACACATCATCCAAAACACCCCATACACAGTAACAAATAATTCATCATATTACTATGGTGTATACACAATTTCAAACTCTTCTACCAGGAGAGAGAGAGAGAGACAGTATATGAATATCATAAACACTGCAACAGATATACGATGTACTGTGATACAAGGCAGCACTTGGTGTGCAACAGAACAAGTTGATATAACTTTTCTTCAGTAAACTGATATTACAGGTTAGTATTGCAGCCAAGCCTAGAATAAGACATGTTTTTAATGGGTTAATCTAAAACCTTCAGAAGCAAATCACATCATGGATGAAAACTGACAATCTTATCTCCATCCTGTAACCCTCTGCATATTCTTTAGTGGATATAAAAAAATCACAAGTTACTCATCTTGTGTATGGCACAATCATCAAATTCTAAAGACAAATAATTTTTGTTTCAAATAAACTGCATTTTTCATTATTATTTCTCTCTCTCTCTACTTACATATAAGCTTGTTTTGTATGCCTTTTCATTAACAAAAGTTGTTGAACTAACATAAAATCTTAAGTTTATACTTTGAAGAACAGAAAATGAGTTTATTTTAGTAAATTTTACAAGCAAAGTTAATTGGTTCTTCATCACTTAAAACAGCTTGCAAATATGGATTCAAACCCAACCACCTGTCAGTTTATGAAACAATTCCTCATTAAGTGTCTGGTTTTGATCTTTAGACCTCATGGATAAGAAGATATAGCCTCCAATGAATTCATGCACTACCTTGCAATCAGCAGTCAAACAACTAAATGCAATTGTTTCTTCTTCAAATTGAACCTCTACCTGTTTAACCTCCCAGTTGACATTCCATATCTTCATAGTGTTGAATCGCCAAGTCTTGATGTGATCTCCGGTGTGGAGGTCCATTCGCATCAATCTGTTATGTGCAATTCCAAGAAGGTCCTAGATAAGAAAACTATATGTAGTTCAAATGCTCTTATAATAAACTAACAATATTTTATAATCTTCTAGTGTCATGCACTAAATCATACAATAAATTGAATTCATCTAAAAACAATTAATCAAAACATTCTTCAAGCCAAACACCTAATATGAGCAGTCTCTATGAGTTTTTGTTATGATCTAGTGAAAACCCATTACAGGCTAATAGTTGATACTACACCAAACTTTCTATCAATATTGCACAGGACCTAATCCCAGCCACTTCTATCACAAAACACAATACTTCTTAGGACTCCCCTGAAGACAACAGCAGACTAGCAGCCAAAATGTGGGATATAAACTAGTTAGTAATTGGTATCATGTGTGATTAAAAAATAATAATAATTATACACACAGCGATTGTGTAGGCTACTAATTATGACAATGATTGATATCCAATCACCACAACTTTAACTTAAGTTCCAAAATATAAGAATTACTTTTATCACATTCATCTTTTCTCAACTGACTGAACATTATATAGTACAAAAAACAATTTTATATAGTTATCCTTATTTGTCAATATTTTATTCTGCCTAAAATTATGCATCACCTAGTAAAAACAGATACTTTCCAAATGCAATAATATAATGTCAAAAACAGGTCAAATATTCTAAAAAATATTTCACCAAAATTCATCAATACTACTAATTACAGTGAGTAAAAGTATAGAATTGATTAAATCAAGTCAATAAAGTACATTATTAAATTTACTTACCTCACGTTTACAACCTTTAAATTTTACTACAAAAAGTGAAATCCCAAAGTCAGGCAAAGCCTGCCAGGCTTTGATAAAGTGCAATTTCGCATCAACAAGGGTCAGATCTTTCACATTTGCATGGGCTTCCAACATACGATTAACAACCTGAAAGAAAAAAATCATTAATGCAAAAACAGTTAAGCACTAATAACAACTACTTTAATCCATTACAGTTATTATAAACTCTCTGAAATCTGTATGTTACATGAAAATCAAATTGATTTAATATAAGATAATACTAGCAAAAAATTAAGCATCATACAATGACATGTTTGTACTACTATTTTGGATGCAGAATGAAATATTTTATCCAATTTTATTCAATTAAAATTCATTTTTCAGTCTATTACTGCAATAATTTTGTGGTTTATATAATCCAAAAAGACTTAAATATATAAATTATACAAAATTATATTATTTCGATTGAACTTGTAATTTTCTGAAACAAAAATGAAAAAAAACTGTTTTCAGTCTAGACTTTTTTGTGAAAAACAAACAATTAAAATAATGTCATTGCGTTATGAATACTTATGCTAGATCTTGGAAAAAATTATTAGTACTTGCAAATTATTTTATAGGTTTATCTAAAATATTAAATTTATTAATCAGTGTCATGGATAAAGACTTTTTTAGAATTAAAAATTTTTTCTGTTAACTGTTTAATGTTTTTTCTGTTTTTCTTGAAAACAAGCTTGTCTTATAAAACATTGTTAAACCTTAACAAAACTAATTAGTAGTATTTGCAATTTAATAAATAGACAAATAAAAATGTGAAAGTTAAAAAATAATCAGTGTCATGGGATAAATAATTTTTAGCATTTACAATATTCTTTTTAAATTTTAATTTTTTTTTAAATGTGCTTATCTTGTAAAACATTTATCACATTTAACTACTATACAAGTGGTTAAATGCAACAATGCAAAATGGTTGTGTAATTTTCATATTTGCTATGCAAAAAACAACCATCAAATTAAACTTGATATTATCCCACCACCACATAGAAATAAAACAGAAATATAATCATTTGTGCTTTGCAGTGTGTATTAGTACATCCTACATGCAGAAATTTAAAGCACTACACATAATGCCACTGACCTCTTTTGAAGCCTACTAAAACTCCAATGAGTATTTCCACCAAAGTATAAGCTAATATCAAGACTGTAGGTATGCAAAGTTTAAAATTTTGCATTCATACCACCAGTATCATTATCTGCTACAAAAACAAGAAAATCTTTCCTGAAATACCTTTTTGATTTACAATTAACTTTCATAAATGATTATGTACTGATAAACTAATATACACAATCTCAAAGATGCTTTAAAAGATTCAAAATGCAGCAACAAACCTCTTTATCTCTCCAACTTCTGAGAAACCTGAGGGCAATATAATCATCAGGGTTGATGTCCACTTGTGAAGGGTTGATGGCTGGAGAAGGAGCTGGCCGCTGCATACTTAGAAACTCCAAAATAGTTTTTACTTCCATGTCATAAGAGCTATCTGCCATGGTCTTCCCTTTAGAAGCCAGTCGACAGGCAGCCATCCACTTAGCATACTGCTGTTCCTGATGATTAATTACATTAACAACATTTTCATCTAATAAAAACAACTACAAAGGTTGAGTGCACTATATTGAAATTATTTTGGAGCCTCATACATTGTTACAGTACATGAACCATGATCACATGCAAGTTAAATAAATGATCACTAAATAATGAATACATTTTATTATCACTGATAACACTAATGTTTTTATTTAAAACATATCAATTGCAATAAGAAATAATTAATTAGCCAGTTAGCCAATTTATTTACGTAAAATACTTGAATATGATTAAATATTATTCAATAAACAAGGATTTGAGTCAGAATATTTTGCCACTGCCTACCACCATACTCGCTAAACCTAACTAAGCATATCTGATGACTTCTCTTCAAAGAAAGTTTATGTAGGTTTCAAATAGATATAATTCAACATGTAAACACTTTCACAATGAAAAGAACATTTATAAAACTATAAAAAATTCCAAGATCTGTTGTTTCTTCCTAAATGTTAGAAACATCCCACTGAATGCCTTTGGTCAAGGCTACAGGAGTTTTAACAAGCATCTTTCCCACGAAACCATAAACAACTGCTCAAACCACTTTATTTACTCTACTACAACATTAAAAGTCTAATTCTTTCTCTATCCAATAATACGTAAACTTTCTTTTTAGCTGTTTCCACAGCTGTGTTTTATTAGTTAATGATCAAACAATTTGTTGTGATATCACAAAAGTGTGGCAACCAAGGTGTGTACAAAAACTAAGGGTTTTATGGAGTCAAAGGTCAAACGACCCAAAAATGTATAATTTTGGCTCCTTTTTTCAGTCATATTTATGGCAGTATGTACCCAACACAATGACATACAAAAAAAGTTGGATTTGCTAATTTTGGGTAATTTTAGGGTGGGGTCACAGCTCACACAAAAAAAGAATAATTTTGAAATTTTGGGTCATTTACCTAGCAATATTTTGACCAATTTACATGGGATATGGTACAAAGATACATTTCTACAGGTCCTTCACAAACAAAAATGGTAGGTTTGTCCACTTTTAGTAATGATAGGGAGGTCAATATCCCACAAAAAGCATAATTTTAGGGTTGTTTGACAATTAATGAGACATATTTTGGCCAATTTACATGGTATTTGGAACAAGGATACATTTTTTACAGGTCACAAAACAGAGATATAGACAATGTTTATCTTTTGCTCGATTTTTCAGCAAGAAAGCACAATTTGTGGTTTTTGTTAACTATTCATGTGTATGTCAACTAATTTACATGGGATTTGGTACACAGAAACCTTCTTGCATGTCCCAAACAGTGATATAGACAGTTTTAGATTTTTCTATGTTTTTCACAATTTTTCTTTTGTCAAAATTAGCTACGTTGGAATTGCACAGCAGAGACATGTTGGATTTACCCACGAATGTTGGCCTCTTTAATTTTATACCATTCTATAACATTTGAAAAAACTAACCAAACCCATAAATTTCTCTTTCATTTCCATGGTTAATGAAGGTAATTTTAAGCTACAACTTCAAAATATTTTTCACAGTAGTTATAGTACGTTAAAATACATACAATTTAATTTTTTTACCTGTTCAAGCACATATATATGAATTAGCTCATTAGCTTATAGAACTCTAAAAATAAGAAACTTACATTATCACACCTGATCCAATAATCAACCATGCCCTTCTGACTAGGCACCTCCAGCTTTATCCCATACTTTTCCTGTGCCAGACTTACATCAGGTGAAACTTCAGATCCTATTAGAAGTAGCCAAAATTAGCCAATCTGACATTACAATTCAAAATAATTTCCTAAAAATGTCAGCAGTACCTTCTATCAGATTTTTTCTAGAAGCCTAATGTATTATATTCAATAAAATTACTATTAAGTTACCCTCAACAAAACTACTATACTGCTGTTTTTCTTCCAACCTTGACAAATATGGGATTCATTAGATTCTTATTTGAAAAAAAAAAAAAAAGAGTAATTTTATAAAAATACTTCAACAGAGGATTGTTTATGATCTAGTGTAATGATGCCTTCATCTTTCAGCACATATGGTATTCTCTGTAATGGTTCAGGATACTGACTATTGTTCTGCAGCATAGTTTCCACTACAAGAAGCTTTTTTGTAACATACTGAAGCCAATGTTGCCCTCAACAACTTTCTATTTATATACTTTACAAAGTCTATCAATAACGTACAGATGTTGACTTCCAAGGGCACATTTGAGCAACTCAAGTACACATAAGTCAATAAATGATGACTATGAATTATATAGCTTAATTCTTATTTGTATTGTATCTTAGTGAAGATACTGGAATGTTAACTTGGACATAACCAAATGAGTGGCAGAATGGGGATTAAAAATGATTTGGGAAACTTACTTTTATAACAGCACTCCAATAAGGGGGATTCGTGAAAAAACTGAGTTGGGTGCCAAGCTTTCCGCTACATAACCTCTAATGTGTGCTAGTACCATTCACACAGTTAACAAATTAAACAAAAAAATACATTGTGCACAATTTTTCACTTACAGTCAAATGTCTATTAAATTTATTACACACCTTAATAAACTACAGATCTTTATGACCACAAAATTACATGACTTGAAACTAACTTACACAAAACAAATCTTAAAAAAGTAATGTAACTTCCCAAAGTATCATTCATCTATGCTACAAGTTGTTAATGGGAAATTGGGCATCTGATTAAACCTGGTTTAAATAATTTATTTTCATGGACTGTCAGCCTAATCCATCCATCGCTAGATGCTTTGTCTCGATGAAGCCACACATAAATGGCATTCTGTCTGAATAAAATTTGTACTTCATCACAGAATAATGGTGTCAGCCTGATAACATATACAGTTCATCTTCGTATTTTTCTAAACATTCCAGATGTTTAACTTACCACTATAGTTGCAACTTGCAACTACCATAAGGCTCTTGAGAAAATCTGCAACATGTTCTGTAACATATTTTAAAATGTTGTATCATCAGAAGCACAATAATAAATTGCCCAGGCTTTTGCAATGTTAGGCAGTCATGAAATAGTATTTTTTTTCATGCTATAATCACACTTTCCTTTATTTCATCAATACGATTCAGCACTACAGGCATCTCTTTCTTCAAAAGAGCTAAAATTTTATGCCTTCCACACTTTTATGATCACAGAATAGGAAAACTGTAATGTAACCAAGCCAGAAACTCAATTTTAGGCATTATCTGCACTTGAAAATTATAATTCTTCAATTGCAACAAGAGTGTCAGGGCATTTGACCTGTGTTGTCACACATGGTGCAGATGGTGTGGGATAAGGTAACTGGACATACAAATTGTTACCATAGATAATGACAAACCACCCTTTGTGTAGTAATGTTACAAAATTTAAAAGATTGTACATAACTAAAAAACAGTTTCGCTATTCAACAAATATAAAATAAATTTCATACACTTATCTCTAGCACATCTTTGCAAAGCATACCTTTCAGTTCAATAATCACTGATGGTACACTACGATTTTCTTCATGGTTTTTGTAAATGGCCAAGCTGGTGTCTTTGAATGAGAAGAAGCATCGCTTGAAACCCTTTAAGGTGAATCGTTTAGGTCTAAAAAACAAAATTATTTTCTAAATGTGGAAAATAATATTTAACATGAAAATTGCTTTCATTATTTTCCTTACAGAGTACAAACTCAGCTGCCACAAACATCGTGTTAAGTATGTAAGCATAAAACTTATATTTAAAATTTTTTATTTTTAATAACTGAACTGAAAAAAACAAACTAAAATTACCAGTAAATCAATTTATATTTCATGGATCCCTTTAGCAAAAAGTATTTAATTGTGATACTTTTAATACTTAGCACAAAAGAGCTACAAACACCAATAATATTATTCTGTAATATTTTAATATAAAAAATACATGATAATCCAGAATGACATACTTCATGTATCTTAGGTAGTCTGAAAGTTCTGGAACCTTAGTTAGGTCTCCATTTCTTTCACCGAGCATAGATCCTTCCAAAGATACTTGTAGGTCAGTCAAGGCAGCATCCACATCATCTTCACCTTTCTGGGAGTCAGGCTGGGGTACGTTAGCTTGCATATTAACTTGTAGCTATAAAGATGATTAAATTTTCTAAACAATTATCCTGTTGATATTCATATATTTCTTACAATATAATTTCAAAAGCATACCAAATCATTTCTGAAAAAAAAATAAAAAATACATATTTGGTAGTATTATCTTGCTTATACATACTTCTTTATACTCCTAACTGCAAGAGACACTTTTGAGTTGGATGTATTACTTGTGCTTAAGTTATCTTCATGTCTGTATATAATAAAATCAATTTGTTAACACACTGTGAACATTTTGTATACATCACTTACACAAAATTCTAAGCATGTAAACAGTTCTATTTTAAAGGCCTAGAACAACTTTAGTAATTGCTTTTTAATTTTGAAAGTTAGATCAAATTTGAAAATTTTAACTTTCAACTTTAGCAGGAGTTCAGGAGCCAATGTGTCTGCTAGATAGCCTGCGTGACCCCTTAAAATCAAAAGTGTCATAAAAAGTTATATTTCACATACATTGATCTAAGCATTTCTTAACCAGGCAGAACTTATGACAAACTACGAATGGACCTTCCCAAGGTTATGAACACTCGTCAGTCATGTACAATCAACAAATGTCATCACTATTAATGCCCGTATATTCAACGTAAATGCACTTTCATTAATAAGAATGCCATCACTTTGTCCAATATTCAAACTTTTTTTTTGTAATGGAATTGATATATAAAATTTCATTTATAAAATATGAAATAGAGAGCAATTATTTTAACTTTTATAAAACTGACTACTGTTTTCAATCAAAATACGACTTTTTTAACCTTTTATATATGACACCAAGGCTGCATCAAGGCTCACACATTTGAAAAATGTACATACAAGTTCTTTTTTGTCAACACTTTCTGAAAAAAGACAAGTAAAAATTGCAAACTTCTAAGTTGTTTGGGGAATCTATCTCACTGCATGTACATTGTAAATGTATGCATGTTAGGGCAAACACTTTTGAATTCAACTTTGCAGGATGCACTAGCCGAAAATAAAAAACATAATGTTACTGTTCTACTAATCATGTCATAATCGGATATCACCAATTATTGATTATTATAGCGCACAATCGGCCCGATTCCAATTATGTACAGTAAATTCGATAATATCATTGTGTATTATTGTTGACATTTCAACCTTAAAAATTGTAATGACTACAAAGGATGTAATTTGATACTTCATTAAATTTGAAATGGTTGAAGTAGCCGATAAATGTGACAAAAAAATCACAATCTCTTTTGCATTTTCTATTTGTACAAGTGTAAATAAAAATGGGGGACTGACCTTGTGGCTAGTACATGATTGATACATAACGTTATGTGACCGTTGTGAGAGAAACAAATTGATGATGTTCATTGTCTAAATTCACCATTCAGTTCAGCCATAAGTTTGAAGACTTTTGCTATCACTCTACACATTTTGAACTAAACCATTTTCTAAAACAAATGAAGTATTTCAACCAAATATGTTTCTTTAATTGGCCTTATTAAAAAATGCTCCTAATTGTATATTTATTGCATATGTAATGATCATCTTTCCAACCTTAAAAAACAGAAATGACAACCTTAAATACATTATGATAAAGAAGACCCATATCATGATGGTTGAATTATTTAAAATTGATCACCTCTCAGCTCAACACACATGCTTTCATCGAATGTGTTTCAAATCTCAGCACTTACACTGTGTCACTTTTGACATTTGTTTAAAATCACAAAACATTAGCACTTACTGTCGATAAAGATGTATACACTCCTCTGTTAGTTACAGGTGTAATGGGCAGTTGGTTATGAAAATTGTCCACCTTCGTGATTCTTGTTTTTCAACTATTTGCTTACAACTCAAAAAATCTAGTTTTTCTCATTCAGAAGCAATCCAACCAATTAACAATCATGTTTGTCAAGCCACAACTAACTTTAAGGTAATTTCTTGGAGCTATGCATATTCATAAATAACAGGACTGTCAAATGGTGAAATGGAATATTCCATAGCTGTCCAATAGGTTAAATATTTTGTAAATATTTGTTTATAACTGTTTACCACTTTCAACTTATAGTGACATGCACAATTCAAACAATTGACAAACATCCCTATTGGAAAGTAATGGGACATTCCAAATTTACAATCGCTCTGTTGTTGTACACTCTTAGTGCAACATTCAGTGTTTTTGATCGCTTGTTTGAAAAATTGGGTCAGAGGCGAGTGTTGTCACTCAAGGTCAGTCACGGTCGGCTTCCTCTCTGTGAACCATTTTGTGCATGAAAAACTGTTGGTTTGTTTATGTGAAAACAATTCGTTTTTTTCTGGACAAATCTCATTTTACAGATGTGGCGAATACAGTTATTCATGAATAAGTTATTCCAGGATATAAAAAACTGTATATTTGTTTTTTCTGTGTTGTTTATGGATGTGGGAATACTCCCAAGGAAATGGAGGTATCTCTGCACAAGTTTCCACCTAATCAGACAGAAAACGGCACATTGTGTGGACAAAGTTTGTATCAAAAACTTGTGATAAGTGGAGTCTGACTGAAAGCTGCTATGTATGCAGTGAACAATTTTTGGCATCAGACTTCAAAACTAAGCTACAATTTAATATGGAATTTGCAAAAAAAAAACAACAACAACTGATGCTAAAAAAAGATGCAGTGCCCAGTGCGTATCCAAAGATCAAGGGAGATCCATCAAGCACACTGAGCAGCAGCCAGGCTCTGGCCAGTGGCACATCATGCTCTTGTTCACAGACCAATAGCAGCAATAATAGTCATGTCAGATAGGCTGTTTGAAAATGAAAGGCATACAGCGCAAGCTTAAGTTTTAGCTGATGTTTTAAGCACAATATAGAATTGCCAGCAATCATTCAGGTTTTATAAACACACCAGTAGATCTGGTAAAACAAAAAGTGTTTATGAAATTTCACTTTCAGATATTATTTACCCAAAAAAAAGGGCATGGACAAACAATTGTCCATTTTATGTATTTATTTTTCATGTTAATAACACTTTCTTTTTATGAAATTTCGTTGAAGATTTTACTATGCAACATAAAAAATGCTAGATTTACAATATCGATTATCAAAATATGACCCCAGATATGTTTACTTTTCCAGTCCTAATGTGTACTTAGTCATATGCATACAAACAGAGCACATGCAGAATACAGTATCGAAGTCCATCAGCTGATATTACATCTACATCTAGATATAAATCCATCGCTTTAAAAAACTAGAATTTACTCATAAATTTACTATATTATCGCCCATAAGACTGTACTGACAGTTGTAAGTTTCATCCCATTTTCATGACATTAGCAGTGTAAATCAGTCTTTTATGACAATGTAGCGAATAACTTTTGAAACAATTCCATACCAAGAAAGATCAGACAAACTGCCAGTTCTCATCAACTTCGGCTGACATATCAACATTAGGCATGTTGTAATGTGCAAGCTCTGTTTCAAATATATACAGTGCAATTGACACATTATATCAATCTTCCTCTTCACCTGCTGTCACCATTTTTGTTTACCTTGTGTGATATAGATTTATCCACCCAGTTCACCATGTGGTGCTTCTGTTAGTTTTTCTTAGAGCTAGCCAACCATAATCAAATATGGCCTGGAGCCACATGAGCTTGAATGTGTTGTGACTTTTTTTTTTAATCGCATTATTGTTAGTACAATACAATATACACATTCAAGCACAAAAAATGCCCTGTGGTATGTGGTCTTTAAAGGAAGTTAACTACAAGCACCTAACACTCAACAGTCTCATAGGAAATGTCCTGATGATTAATATAATATTTAACAATGTCACTGTTGTTTATGATCATCATGCAACACAGTTACACTCTGCTGATAAGTTATTTCAAACCTTTATGACCTATTCAGGCTAGTATGACAACACTATTTTACAACAGTCATAATCAAACTTTCAAATATATATATAAAAATTGGAATCAAAGTATGTTCTATCAATACTTATCACATTACAAGTAGTTATGAAGTATTCTATAACAAAAGAAATATATTTATTTATTTATATATATATAGATAGATAGATAGATACACATCTCTGTACAGATATGAATAATTTACCTTCACAACTTTAAATAATTAGTATTTGCAATTTTCAACATCAATTTTTATATTCTTTACAAATCTGTGATGAATTTTGTACATGTTGTAGAAGTTGCTTCAGAATAATTAAAAAAATAAAAAATATATAACCATATATCATAAAGAACACTGATGAGATCAGAATGTTTTATTACAACCTTGAAGAGGAAAAGAAAAAGAATAGAACCAACTTGCAATGCTGCAAACATCATCATTTCTTCATCAGTGCAGTCAATTTCTTCTGTCAGTATGGACCATCTAGCTTGTTCATATATCTGATTGATCCTTACAGCATCATACTAATGGGAAGAAATCCAAAATGTGAAAACTGATTCTCTTAATGATAAGTTTAAACAATCAATACATGTCTAACTGTAATAAAGATGCAATAACCTTCTAGATGTATTAATAAATAAATAAAATATAAAACAGCTATAAATTAACCTTGGGCCGCACTCTCAAACAAAATTCTTATCTCCCTACAGGTACTGAGTATATTAGGAAAAAAAATCAAGCAACAGATTAACCTTCTGTTAATGGACAGGTCAAAGGGTGCATGTCATGTCACTTTAGATATTCATTTGCAAAATTTAATTAAACTTTATTATCATTTTATGTCAATAAAATTGGCATCACAATGTAATTTATAATTTTAATCTTAATACTATATATCCTTTAATTTCTTAATTCAAAAAAAATACTTAAAATAAATGTCAAATATGCTTTTTGTTTTTTTGTATAATATGGCATATCTTCTTGTTTTATTGCCTGCTTTATATTTTATTATGCCTACCAAACAATGTCTATAGTGGTTGACAAATTAGAAACTCAAACTTCAGACATTTACAAGCTACAATATCAAATAAAAATCTCCCATCTCTTTGATTTGCTGAGATATTAATATATTTTGCAAATCTACAAGGTTAGAACTACCCACTACTCCATTCTTTTGAAACCTTTTGTCTCCTCATACCTACTTCTCTTAAGTACTCATTTATAACCAACAGAAAGAGCACATTCCAAACTACATAAATCAACAGTCAATTATAATTGGCTTGAAATTATATTTTTTAAACCTACATATAGCTTATTTAGAAAGCTAGGTAAATTACAGTGGTTTCATGTGTGCCAGTATAGTAACTGATAATTTTTTGTTTTACTAAAATGCACCTTTGAAATCTACAAAAATTAATTTGTCTTCCTCCTCCACTTGAGAGAACAAACAAGGTTTATGGCAAGGCTTAGCAAGTACTACATGCGAGTACAAATCAATTTCATAACATCTTAAGGACTAGGAATCATTGTTTTTTCTATACATTTGTTATTTACTGTGTTATGTTTTAAGAACAATAACTAAAAATTAAGCACTTACAAGTAAACAGTAGTAATATATATGCATAAGCACTTACATTGTACACCTATACTGCTAAATTCCAACCATAGCAGGAGGGTAACTAACATCTAAATACCTACAAAGTTTACTGAAATGGCTCAGAATTTGTACAGAGCCATACCATAAAACACTTTCTCACACTTTTATTACTTTAGACAAATCGTTGCAACCACTGTACTAAAAACAAGCTGATAAATCCTTTCCCACTGTGTTCTCAGAGCTGGGATTATGATAAACTCTGTGGAAAAGTTCTGGTAATAATGCTGCACAAGCTTATCTGCTACTGATGGTGTTGTATTATGGTGTCACATAAATAGCCTAATGGTAGGAGTGGTGATTCATTGCTCCATGATAGCAGGTTTCTACCTCAGCTGCTAACAGTAAATAAACATAGGAAATAAATGTGAAAAGGTTAGATGTAGAAACTCTCAGGAGAAGTACTTCAGAACTTCATGGTCAAGAGGATAAGAAGACAGAAGAGTACTACTCATTTTATTTCACATTTTTCAACCTTTAAAATTTTATGGTGGTTACGAAGTTGGCATAATTGACCGATCCCATATATATATAGAGAGAGAGTTAGGATATGAAAATAACAGATAAAATATAAAGTTTTTCTGAAAAAAAAATGTTTGATATTTATTTAGGAGGTTTTAGAGATTATGCATATGAAATTTGAAAATTTTGAAATGAAGAAATTATTTTTAATCTTAACATGAAAATCAACACTCTGACTCTGTATATTCAAGACCAAATAGTTAGTAAAAATTCTGAATTTTTTTGTTTACAAAAGATTTGGAATGTTCGTTAAAAGCTTAAAAAATGTCAAGGAGATACACAAAAAAAGATCTTAAAAGTTATAGTATGGAAACTCCAATGGTCACTTTGGAGTCTCATGGTTGGTGTAATCCACCAAATCAGTAGCGAAAGAGTTAAATTTAAATACTAAATCCAGTAATAAAACAGATTTAATGCTTTGCAATCAACATATTATGTGAAAAACACACAAACTTTATAGACAATGTAAACACTTAGAATTTAAACTTTCCAACTTAAAATTTTACCAAAAACAACATTCCTCATTTAAATTATCTTGAAACATCTTAACATGATTTTGTGTCACTTGGGTCAAACTCACACCTCCAAAAGATATTGTAAAGAAATCTAAATTTGCAATCAAACACAGACATATGACAATATTAGTACACATTCATGGCTAATTATTAGATGTTTATAGGATGTTAGAAATAATTGATTTTGATATGGTCGTGTTTGAGCCTTTCCCAATAACTGAAAAAACATGATAAATGCACAACATGTAAAAACTTACTTCAAAAAGAAAAAAATAGCAAATTATATTTTTTTTAACATTATTATTTCAAAAAAACCTTTAAGCCTGCAAATGCACACAAGTAATTGTATACTAAGTTACTGCACTGATTAACAAGTTTGTTGTGGTATTTTACAGTGATGTATCCTTTACAAATAGTTCAAATATTATGCAAAATTATTCTGTTATGGAGTTTCAAGATCAAAATATTATTTGTCTGTTATTGTTTATGTTATTTTACATGCTGCTCAAGATGAATTATGGAGAAAAAAATAGTTAATTTAAATATATATGAATTTTTTTTTATATAAATACAGATTTATTATGCTGAATTGGTAGCAGGTTATATGAAAATCATTTACAGCTAAACATACATACATTACAGGAATAAATTGTTAACACTGTAAAGTCATTATGTTGAAAGTGACCAATTAATGATAGCTCATTATTAAAAACAAACAAAAATACACCATCCTTTTATATTAGTCCCCTACGAACTATTATAATAAATTAATAATGCTAACATTTTATGCATGATCAAAAAAACTTTCCTTATGCTAGCTACCCACAGCTACAAGAACAATAATTCTGATATACAATTGTTTTCAATACTGTACATCAATGTTAACAAATCAGCTTACAATATATGATTTTTTTTCCTTTTTTTAGTAAAAATAAGAAAAATAGGAGCAACAAAAAATATTAGAAGTGTAAGTCTACTTTGCTCACTGGTTATGTGTATTCAAAAGCAAACTGCATTTAGTAAATGACAATGACCATTACAGCATTCAAGTGAGGCTAAACTATGTCCATAAATGAACTGTCTAATCAATTATGAAAGTAAATTATTTCTTAGTGCTACTACTACTACTACTACTTTGAACTATGGTTTAGAAAAGGTAACCTAAATACAGCATAATTGTAAAGTATTTCACTACAACAGCTTTTAACATTACTTAAAAAATTAGTTGTCCTTCCTACTTAGACAATGGTTAGTTGATGAAGTTTTCACTTTTTTTTTTTTTAGAACTCATAAAATAAGTTGACACATAAATATGGTAATTAAATCATAAGGAAAATTTGAATCTTAATGGATGAAGACAGTATTAAACTGTATTGGTTATTTAGACTGTTACTTTGTTCTGTTGTTCAACACTCAACTTAATACTTTACATTCCAAAACTTTTTTTATCACTATATTGATTAATTTTGTTGAAATGTTCATAGCTTCTGGAAACACTCCTTCTAAACTACATGCTGAAAAATGTAGCAAGAATTCATTAATTCTATTTACACGTCTATCTATATCTTACAAATATGGCACTTTAATCAAAATTTGGGAAAATATGACACTGAATCAAAGTACTTAGATTATATTCTGAAAAAATATAGGAAGGAAGGGAAAAAGATAACACAGAACACTATATAAAGTAGCAAGTCAACACTGATGCACAAAATCAGAGTAAAGACTCTTCAAATTTGGTATGGTGGGTCTAATACCATCTGACGTTTTGTTATCTAAACACAGAGAAGAACAAATTACAAAAATTTTATCCAACCAATTCCACAAAATAAATATAGATATCAACTTTTATGTTAAAAAAATTAGAAATTCGTTTTCTTAAAATAAATACAGGGCCAGTGCATATTATTTTTTTCTTCTTGGAAAACTGCCCATAAATGAAGTAAGTTAAACAACTAAAGTTTAATTACAAAACAATTATGGAATGTTTTATAAACATGAAATAACTTACTTTCGGATTCAGATCATAAAAGTGAAACAGTTTGTATTTCAACTGTAGTGTATCAAATTCTCTAACATCTTGTTCCATCAGTGAAAGAGAGGAATCCAGCCAGCTACAGAGAATGAAATTCATAAATACTACATAATAATAATAAGTTGACAAAAACAGTTTATAAGCATAATAAAAATTAATTTATATAGAGAAAATACATGTTTCAACATTGGTCCATCTTCTTCAGGTATGATATACTGCTAAGCATACACAGTTTATATATAAAATCAGTGTATGTATGTATGTATATATATACACATTTTTTGTTTATATATGTATGTATGTATATATATACACATACATACATACATATATAGACAAAAAATGCAGGGCTGGTCATGTGCTTGAACAAAAACTAAGTGGACAAATGCAACCACATTTTGCTGATGTTACTAGGGCCACTGTCAAAGGTTAGTGAAAAATTGCCCGCTTTAATAATTGCTATAAGTAATAAGTAACAGGAGCACTGTGTACTACAAAATGACATAATAGTAATTATAAAAATTACCATTCTCTCTTCATTATATATATATATATATTTCTTATTTCTTGATGCAGGAAAGATGTAGAATCAGGGCTGTAATGCTGCTGCAGTACACCGGAGCACTGCTGCTGCACCTTAAATTGGAGCTGAGCCTCAACACTTCAAAAAACTAAGAATATGCATGTAAAAAAAGTTATTCAACTTACACCCGAAATTAAGTGGCTTTCATAACCAAAACCTCAATCAAAGGACATTCATGTTGGCAAGATAGAAGGTATGCAAGACATCACAAACTTCAAGGTTGTTAACCCTTTCACCTTCAGCTGACACATTTTGTATCACTTTGTCTGGGGAAAGACATTTATGCAAAAAATATATGGTAACTCTAAGTGTTCCTCACAAAACCTCCTAAGCTTTTGTTAAAGTTTATAAGTATTTTTTATACAAAGAATGACATTATTTTAATTATGTCTTTCTAATAAAAATGTTATCTATTTATCTAAACTGTTAAAATAGTTGGAGTGGGAGGTGATTTTCATTTTATGTATACAAATACTTTTCTTCATCATGTAGTTTTCATATTTCATTTGTACAACCCCTCTAGAACCTCCTAAATTAATATCAAAATTTTTTAAAGATATATGTTTATATTTTCTCTACCACATCACCAACTCTCGCTATTATCCTTAATGTACAATGCAATGAAATAATTAAAATTAGGAAAAAAACATACCTTTTAATTTTTTGTAGAATATTTTTTAAAGTTTTCCTTTTGTTAAATTCATAATTTCAGGTCTTTTTGTTTTCCACATATAGTTAGTTTTTAATGTTTTATTTTCCTTTCTTGTCCTTTACCACTTATTATTCATCTTGACACAAGTCAACAGTACAATCTAGGCATCTATAATGTGTCTGGCAGACATGCGCAACTCATCCACAAAATTTTCGTACACCATGTAATATCGTAAGCCTTGAGAACTGAAGTAAAGTATGATATATATTTAAAAAATGTTTAAACCTTTCATTATGCATCTTATAATTCTTATAATGGAATTCAAAAACATACTTATTGTTAGATTAACACATGCATAAGACCTAAACACCATTTAAACTGTATCTCTAACTATAAAATATTAAGGTAAGAAATAACTAAGTGCTATAGTCGATCAAGCAGCCAACAATACTACAGTCAGTTACATGTACTCTGTAACAACAACTGTGCACCACTTCAAAATAACCATTGTTAGATTACAGTGTAAAATGAGCTCTTTCTAATGACTGTAAATTGAAGATACAGAGTGGCAAAGTTGAGAATTTTCATAGCTCATTGGTCACATGACAATACATCTGAAGTTTTAACCAGTTTTTTAAAGGTTTCTTTTGAAATAAAGAACTTAAAACTTAAATAACATAAAACTTCAAATCATACATACATCATAATGAACATTTAATTCACATAAATGGATAGTAAAGGTGTTTAATTAAATTTTGAATTTAACATGGTGACTAGCGCAGAAAAGTGTTTAAAGGATTAATATCACAGTGCAGTCAAAAAGATAGTAAAATAATAACATATGCAATTTTAAAACTTGTTTTAATGTCAATGATTTTTATTTGGTACCAAGTTGTTGTTTTTTGTTTTGCTGTTTAATTTAAGGGAAGTTGAGTTGTGTGTTTTCATTTGCTATTATATACATATTAAATCTGACTTTAATGTAAGCAGTCTCAAATAATTAGCATTGAATATATATTATTTATTTAAAATGGACTAAAAAAAAATTAAATTAGCCTATAAGATCTTTACCCTTATGGGGATGTCACACATCTGACAAATTTTGGAAGGGCTCCAACATTATAAAATTTAGCACTACACCACTGAGTAGAATGTGATATTTTTTCAATATTAACTTCCAGACTTGTGGTAAACACTTAAGGGCTTGTATCAACAACAGATAAGATAAGAGAATATTACATGTAATTACATATAACTAAGAAAGCTAAAATGTATTAACCTGTTGTTTTTTTCAAAAACATGTTTCTAAATGCTTACTTACAGCAGAATGCTTTAAAAACGAAGTACAAAGTAAGTTATTCTGACATACCAGTAAAAATGCGAGCCATATTGACATTAAGAACATACAAAAAAAAGACAGATTCTGAACATCATAACTTTGAATGAAATAGGAACATCCCATTTTTAAAATGAAGTGGCTTAATGTTTACTTCAACAAATTACTAAATGTGTCAAAAACTTAACACATCATTAAAAGAACATTCATTAATAAGTAGAAAGGTAAAACCTGCTGATGCTATAAAACTCTGTAAGTGATTAAGAATATACACCAAATAAAAACAATTGATAAAAATATCCCAAGTTTTAACAACTTCTGTTCATCATTCACAAGAACTTATCAACATTTAATGTGTCAGTACACATACAAAACAACAAAAAGCATCAAAAGATACAAAAACAATAGGGACTTGTGAAGGAGATTACAACATAAATTACAGATCCATAAATGTATTTAATTCTGGACATTATGCCAGCCTCAGTAGAAACATATGTTAAAATTGGAGGGAGTAAAAAATGTGAATATTGTCCCTTTGCATGCTGTGATCTGTCAAAGGAACAGAAGAATCTCAAAATACGTATGTCGTAAAAGCAAAAAAAAAAACCTTGGTTCACTTCAAATTGTGTTAAAACTCTAGTTGAAATAATTTATAATACATTCCAAACAAATGCTATTTTTTCAGGCAGTCAACTATTCCCATTTTAAAAGATACAATGTCTGAAAAGCATGGATGATACATGAAGAGGCAGATGACAACAAAATTAAGCATAAGGAGAAAAACTTTGAAACCATAAAGTAAAAACTTACACTTCAGAAATAAATCAGATGAATAGACTATATGTATAGTTGGCAACACTTATCTACAAACTAATTAACAGACAAAATCCTAAAATACATGAATATACAACAACTGAGTACAGACAAATTTGGTAACTAGAAGTAAACATTAATTAATGAAAAGTCAACTTATTTAAACAAAACCCTTAAGCCCCCCAGTAGCACAGCAGTATGTCTGTGGACTTACAACACTAGAAATCGGGTTTCGATGTCCGTGATGGGCAGAGCACAGATAGTCCATTGTGTAGCTTTGTGCATAACTACAAACAAACAAAACCCTTAAAGATAGTCCAATATTTTTTTGTCAAGGACTTACTACAGTTGTATTATGAAAAATTAATTCTAGAATGTTGTTCAAATGAAAAAAAAATCATTGTACTTGATATGTTTTATGAAAAATACTGTTAAATGACATTACAAATTAGTCTTAGTACTAGATTCAAAATTTTTTCACAGGCCTCAAAACACAAGATATGCAGCATTTTGTTTGGAATCACACTAGGAGATCTTTAGTATCACTGGAAAAACAAAATTTAAGAATTTGTGAAATATGGTTAGAAAGTTTAAACCAAGCTTTTTAAACTGAAGCAATAAAGCTTCTGTTTTGGGTTACCTATATCTGTCTTCTTATACTTAAAAATTATAAATCTAGACTAAAGATGCAGCAGTCAAAATCCCTCATAAAGGTGCATTTAAGCCATCTCCAAGGAATAAAAATTATTTTCTCACCTGTCCACATACACACAAATGCTGAAGTCAACTCATCAAGCTTTACATCAATCAAGATACAGTTACAATCAAATATTTAAACAACATGTTATAATGCCATAAACCTAAACTGTTGACCCCAAAAGTACATTTTTACCACAGATTTGCAGCTTAGTCTCTCTGCCATGACATACAATCTTATCTGAGGTTTCATTTTTCAGCTATAAAATAGAAAAACACAAGTATACCTAATGCACTGATTAAACTTTCTAAAAATACCTTAACATTAATATGGATAGAAATAAAGTAAAATGTTTAACAAATATTTTTTTACCCTGCATTCAACCTTGCTCTTTCAATAAGTGATCTGGGATAGAGAAGACCTTGTCTAGCCTCTTCTGTTGGTGTTTTGGGACTTTGTGCAAGTGGGAATTCTTGGCTTGAAATACTTTCATCACTAAGGAAACTGTGTGTTCCAATATAAGATCCATTGTGTGAAGAATAACTCGAGATATTCCAAACAGGCTACAGAAAATGTTGGAAACAGTATTTGAATCAAATTAGGGTGACTTAATTATTTTATACATAAGTATAACTATAAAACAACTAAAGAAGCTGAGTATATTACATTAAAATGTTGGAGCCTCACAACATCATAATAGTCCATGTAATTATATCTGTTCGTGCTCCATCTGAAGATCATGCATCTTGATAATGGACTTGCAGCATTGCAAAAAGCTCTGTTGTAAAACTGTATTATCCAAAACCTGTCCCTGCACAGAAATTTCTAGATCCAGTATCCAGTGACTTGAATGATATTTCTTCATATGAAAAAGACTGAATACCTATTTCATTCTCAAGCTTCTTGAAGTATGTGACAGTTGAATGGAAGGTATGTCAGATGGAGATCCTTCTTGATTATGTTGTCCAAGCAAGACATGTGAATAGCTTTTGTCACTAACCTTTGTGCTTATACAATCTTACCTGTTACAAGATGTCACACTTTGCTTACAATGGCTGGGGTATGACTTGTTGCAGGTCTCTTTTTGGATGGTTCTCAAAAATGATGCACATTCCTTTGTTTTACAATGACATTAAGTACAAAAGATATTTCTGTCTTACAAACTCTATATCCCTGATCAAAACACATCTTTATGATCTGAGTGTATGAATATTTTGTGATGGAAAGGACTGTTATATACCCTTCCTAAAATCAATAAATTTTCAGTTGCATCACAACATCTACAAAAAACCTAGCTTATGTCAAAATGTAATTCTGATACACGTCATTCCATTGTGACTTTAGGTTGGCTGTATTTGTCAAGTAACTTGCTGATTCAAAATTGTTTTACTATAATTTACTTAACCCTCTGTATTTACACTATTGCACTTTAGTTCTCTTTAATAACATTTGTCTTATTACATGTAGTAGCACCTGTTTTTATTAGCACAACAATATATATATATTTAACTTGATGAAATATTTAATACATACATATCAGAGATTATGCAAACAAAAGGAAAAAGGTTTCAAATTCCTTTCAATATGTAACTTTTACACATTCACATTGAAGACATAGTGTGACACATAAACAGAGAAAAATTTAGTCAAAATTAGAAGAAAGGTACTTTTTCCCCTATGCTTTGGTTTGTTTAAATTCCTGAAGTCACTGAGAACTTATATAAAGTATACTCACACCACTTCCAGGGGTTTTCATGATTGGTGAATCAGGTGCTGTTTTTTCAGGAGTACTTGTGTTTAAACTCAAGCTTCCTACTGAAGACCCTTGCCCCTCTTTATTTCTCTGCCTTGGACTGCAACCAATATATCGATAATTTCTCTTCAGGTGATCCAAAACGAGAGGCCGAGTAAAAGACAATTCTTCTGGACACCTTATGCCTAAATAACCAGCATTTAAATGCAAATTAGTTATTTATTACAACAGAATTAACTATCAATCTTTTTTTTTTTATACAAGTATTACCACTTATGTACAAAATAACATATGATATGAATAGCAGTCTTCATCTTTAAATCAAATTAAGCATAAAAGCATTTGTTAAGAATGAGGAAATTATTTTCTGTAAGAAATGTTTAGCGTATCCATTTTGTAAGAGAATGCTTTACATAGATGCCACATTTTCATTTTCTCTTTATGTTTGTGATAATAATTATACTTCTTAGTATGAAATGAAACAGAAAAAAGATATAATAAAACAATTGAAACACTGCTTTAATACACTGTTTTTACTTAAACTTTTAAACTTGTTGAATCCACTGAAAGACCTGTGAGTACAATACACAATATGCTACTGGAAAAGACTTCATGATCAATTATTGTATTTTTCCTGTAAATGATATACTTGCAGCCAGGTTTTCTTTAATAATTTGACCATTGTTTACATAATCATGCCTGGATTATCAACTGACAAAAAATATTTCAGTGTCCTTTGATGGTCACTGAGAGATATCACTACTTTTAAACCATACAGTGGTTCCATAAAAATACCTGATGTTTAGTAAACAAACTGAATCTTTCAAGTAATTGACTCAATTGTTGGAAAACATAACTTAATGATAAAGCACAACATAAATGTGATAATAGGAAGCATTTACTGAATGTTTCAGAATCATCAAAATTCCATCATTAGTAATCTAGAGGTACAAAACAAACAATATTTGTAATTACAACAGAAATATGATGAGCATAAGAAATAAACAATTTGAATATACAAATTATAACATGATAAAATGAAAATGTGGCACAAATGAAATAGTTAAATTAAAATAAGTTTAAATTAAATGAATACTGAATTATTTTGGGATGAAAGAAGAGTTTTTATGTGTAATGTTTCTTTTATAAGAAGTTCAGTATCATGCTTGGCTGCTGAGAGAATTATAAGGTTGGAGAGCAGAACTGGATATTTTCTTTCTGTATAATGCTGATAGATAGTGGAGTTGGGAGGGTTTACAACTTTTCTTCAAGTTTTTATAGATATGCCCATGTGTTCAACTGCTCGTACTTTAAGGTGACGTTTGGTTTCACCAATATAGGAGGCCTTACAGTCTCCATACGTGTATAAGTAGACAAGATGCGAACAATGGGCAGTTGGCAAACAATCTCTGTAGCAGAAAAAATTGTTTAGTCTGAAATTGGGTTTCATAATAACTTTGAGGTCAATTTGCGGATAGTAAGAGTTATATAATTTTTTAAACTGTTTTGTAATGAGGGAGCTCCATCCCCCAAAATATGGTAAGCAGGTGTATAAGGGAAGTTGGGTACAGTGAGTATCTTAGGTGGTTTGACAAACAAACTTGTTAAGAAAGAGAAAGTTATTTTCTCTAAGAAATGCTTAGGGTAGCCATTTCGAAAGAAAATGCTTTGTATGGATGCCACATTTTCATTTTTGTGTCATATAATTTGTATATTAAAATTGTTTACTTCTTATGTTTATCATATTTCTATTGTAATTACAAATATTGTTTGTTTTGTACCTCTAGATTACTAATGATGGAATTTTGAGGATTCTGAAATGTTTAATAAATGCTTGGTGCTACTATAGCATGTAGTCTACTGTAACGAATTTATTATTATATATATATATTTATTTTAATATCAACGTTTGTTTAGATTAAGTTTATATTTAGAAACATGCATAGCTTATAGTGTTTAATATGTATTGCGAAACTCCCGCCTATTCTCCAAAGTTGTAGAAGATACTCGAGAGTAAAAATCAACAATATACGTGTGTATGTAAACGCTTAAATTGTATTGTTACGTAAAACTGAAATTTCTAGAATGCCTCCACTTGCCTATAAATCTAATAAACAACACAACACGCCAAAGAAAGTACCTATTATTAGTTTGCTGTAGTCAGTGTACTATAAACTTTGGAAGCTATAACTGTGATTGTTATAACACTTATCAATCGGAAAACTTCAGATATTTGACCAGGAGCATTTACAAAATTTTAACATTACAACTTATTTAACTTCAGTGGATTCTCATTCGACATCAGTATTTTTACAAAAACATTACCTAACGTCATCGGTGGAAACTCAATCTCTAATAGGGATATGAACAGTGAAGATTACAGGGCTAGCTAGCTTCCTATTACATGATTTGTGCCTACGTCAACTCGAAATTAACTCACTCATCGTGAAGCCTCGATAAGATATTAAAGAAGTTCCAGACTAGAAAGAAGACTTTATATTGCTTGTAAGTTTGTGAAACTTTTGTTTATAAATCATTGTTTGTAATAACTGTTATTGTAAATTGTATTGTTGTGTGTATATTAAAACATATTTGTGTTAAAAAAGAAAACTGTGTGTATCAATCTTGTTGGCAAATATCATAAACTTTTACTTAACTACTAAATCCAAAGTACAATTTAACTATTTAATTTAAATTTATCAGTTAACTTGATTTCAGGCTATTTGAAATTCTAATACGTAGCACTACACAGATACTATCATCATCACCGTTTTAATGATTCACTGAAACATAACTTCTTACTAAGTAATTTATATCTATCCATGTTTTGTTCAGGCAAATAATAATAATTCAATAAGTTGTGTGTGTTCCAAAAGAGTACCTTAAATTTAGGTTATAATTATGCTAGTTTTGATTGTTGGAATTTCTTCCATTCCAATTATATTTGCCCCAAAAATGTTATGTATGGGAATTTTGTACTTTATTAGTTTAAAAGTGCTATTTATAATAAATGGTGCCAATTGCAAATAAATGAAAGTTAAAATGGTGATGATGATAGTATCTGTGTAGACTGCACAATCTAGTGTAAATATCTTTGTAGACTGCACACTATAGTAGCACCAAATGCTTCCTATTGTCACGTTCGTGTTGTGCTTTATCATTAAGTTATGTTTTCCAGAAAATAAGTCAATTATTAGTATACTTCTACGACGGTATGGACTATTGAAAAATTGGACTACACAACAAAAAAAAGATCAATCTTGACATCCAGTTTTTAACAGAATGCAAAACTCAGTCATTAACTCTGAAGTTTCTTCAGTTCAAACTCGCTAATAGAAACCTTCAAAACTCAGTAGCATACTATACTTGCCAAAAGTGCTTACTTGATGAATAACTTACATGGAAACACCGAAACATATATCATCTCTCATCTAAGCTGAATTCATCTCTTTCAAACTTTATATCCTGGATGGACTTCAGCCACCTTTTGAATCTTATCAACCGAAGTAACGAGAAGAAAATTGCTAGACACAGACAGAATGTTAAACTAAGGAAACTTTCTAACAACATAACTCACAGCAAGATCTCCCCTGACCAAGTCATATTTAACTACAGCAACATCAATTCATGTGACAATTATAAAAATGCAGTAGCCAAAGGACTGAACTTCTCCATACCCTTCTCAAAACTCAATTATATCAATTACCTCTATCCCTGTGAACCCCTTGTACTGGAACCTAAATATTTACCTATTTTACCAAGAATACTTCTGAACAAGCAAGAGAACTATTTACTACTAAGTTAAAACTTAGCACTTTCCACCTTTTATAGCTATAACACATGCAGGATATCTTCAAATCTGAAGAACTGGTAGCTACCAAAGAACTCTCCCGAAACAAAACTATCATCATCACCTGACCAGACAAAAGAAATGGAGTTGTTGTCCTCAACAAAGTTGACTATGTTAATAAAAATGCTTGACATTCTTAATGACCGCAATAAGTTCAAATTTATAAATAAAGAACCGTTAACTCATACTTTATAACTTGAAGGGAAAACTTTCTTAGAAACCTAAGCAAAACAAATATTATTTCTGATTGTGTTTACAGCAATTTAAATCCTACAGGCTCTCAACCTGGAGTATTATATGGCCTGTCAAAAGTTCACAAACCAAACACCCCCTTCCGACCTATACTTTTCGCCTTAGGTACTCACAGTTATAACTTAGCTAAATTCATACAAGAACAGACAAGAGTAGCAATAAAATACTTGCCCCTCCTTATAATCTAGTGGATGTGGTTAAGACAGCTACAGGGGTAGTTGAAAACCCACAGAAGAAGATACTGCCAAATCATACAAGATAAAGGTATTGGGATAGGTCCACATGCCTGCCAGCACAATGTCCTCCAGCTGGGAATTCAACCATGCTATTAAAGACATAGAAATGTGTCAAATCTGATGCAATGTAACACGCAGAAGTCTCCTCACCTTCAAAGAGACACAGTATGGATCAATTTTCATACCCACCTTGTCAAGGTAACCAGGGATAAATCTTGGGAACTAAGGGATCCCAATGAATAAACAGTCATTGTTTATCACCTCTAAAGGAGTTAGCACGAGCCACATAACACTTCAGGGCCATAACTAGGCATAACAAACAATCAGGATCCAAATGGTCATAAAGGTGAGATATAGCAGTCAGATGAATCAGTGTGAATGATTTATCCCCTTCCCAGGCTGCCAGTGTCTTAGGTAAAAAGGACTTGTCTGGGTATAGAAGTATGCAAGTAGAATGGTAAAGCACCTGTGCAGATGCAGTGCAAACAACTCTGACCGGCAACATCCACAAACAGCAACAAAAAAATTAACTTTAAGAAAAAGGTGATACATAGTACATGAGGCTAAAGGCTCAAATGGATGTTGAGACAGAGCATGTAATACCACCTTATTATCCCAGTTAGGTAATTGAAATGGTCTTTTGGGACAAAAGACCTGAAAGGACTTGAGGAGGCCAGAGAGCACTGGGGACTCAAATAATTTTTCTATCTCTTCAAGTATCTAAAGGTAGTCGATAAAGCCATCTTATTTAAGTCAATTCTTGAAGATGCTAAACCCCTGTCAAAGAGCCAGGCAAAAATTAGCTATAGGTGGCATGTCTGGATGAAGTGGGTTCAATCTCCTTATGAGACACCACTGTCAACACGTGTGCCATTTCCATTGATAAATGTTCATCGTGGGACTAAGTAGAGATTTAGACAGATATGTGGCAACATTAGAAGTTAAACCCAATGCCGTGGGAAGGACTGCATAACCTACATGCATGAAGCTTGAGCTTTGAGATAGCTGGGTGTATGATGTCAGAACATGAACACCTCAACAGAGATGGCCAAAGAGGAAGTGGAAGAGGTGGGCACTCTTGAAGGTCCCAAAAAAGGGTTTAACCGGTCAATCCAATGCTACCAACAGAACACAACAAGGGGTTGACCGAACCATAGCTAGAACTTTCGGTAACAGATGAATAGGTAGGAAGGCATAGAGGTGTTCATGATCCATTGGTCATGCAGCGACCACTGAAGGGATCTCATGTGTGTTTGTCCCAAAGGAATGAGGGATTTAAGTGATGCCTACATCCCCAAAATAGAAAGAACCATCCGTACAGTGGGAGAAGGATACACTGGGTCTGACAGCCTGTTCAACAGTGACCTATAGAATGGAGGTGATGAGAAAAAGTTCATATGATTCTGCAGAACACATATGATACCAATGCTAGTCCGACAGGCACAGCCTTGTACTGCAGCACCTGACCCTTGTGCACAATATGCTGACAGTGATGGAATGATTCTACTATGGTAATGTGTAGATAGGCATCAATGACACTGAACTTGGTCATCTACAGTCCTGGCAAAAAATGACAACACAGAGTGAAGAATAACTCCATTGTAAATGTGGGAGGATCTAAGAATTGGTTATGACGAGAAAGATTGATGACCAGATGGTAATCTCCTGTCTTCTTGGGCACAACAAACAGATGGAAATACAACCCTGGAACAACTGGTTTGACTCTCTCCACTGATCCCTTGGCCAACAAATTTCTGATAGCTCTGGAACAAAGTTCCAAAATCTGAGCATCTGCGGAATGTGGAAACACTACAGGTTGGGGGGGATAGTGGTGGTGGAGATGTAAACTGAATGACCAATCCCGACACAAGAACCTTTAGAACCCATGGATCTGTGATAAAGGTGTTCCATACATCCAGAAATTCTTGCAGCCAAGCCCCTATAAACCACACAGGCGTAGTGTAATCATCACTGAGAAGTTACTTTAATATGTTTTAAAACATTATAATGTAGGCTTTAAAAGATTTATTTTGCTTACATATGTAATAAATGGATGATTTTTAATAATATGCAATATTGATTCAGTGTGTAAAGGGTTTTCTGTATATACTGATTTTCTTTAATTTCAGGTTAACCCATGTTGACAGGTTTTTATTTTGTGTCTTATATTATTATTGTTAGAGTTCTTCTTCTTTATTTGTGTATTAAGTACTATGGTTTTAATATAAAGGGTTTTTAATCATATATAGCGTGCTTGATTAATGTTTTTATCTCTATTAAAGGATACTGCACGTGATTGACTGTAAAAAATATTATCAATATATTTATTTTTGTTGAAAGGTTATTGCTGCACAGTAAGTACTTTTGTGTTGAAGAGTTATTATAAAGTGTGATTTCAAAAATATTTGGATTTGGTCATTTCCACATTTAAGGGTACTGTAATGTGCTTTTATCAGTGTTATAGGGCTTTGTTTTTATATTTTCTGTTTCTATGTTGAAGGAATTAAATGTGAATTTCATTGTTAAAGATTTTATATTTATGTGTGCTTGCATCTTTGTGGAAGGGTTTATATTCATGTATGTTCATTGTTTAAGGTATTTTGATGCAATTATGTGATACTCTTCTCTGAGTAAAAATTGTGACATTTGTGTGGCATGTTATCATTTTTACGAGTGAGTAAAGTTAATACTATTCTCAGCCTGTGCATATCTAAAGTTCATTGAGTTTAACTTTAAAGTTATTTTCTTGAGAACAAGCCTGAAGTAGGGAAGACAGAAAATGTGGTACATGAATATACCAAGGGCTTATAGCTTCTTCTAATACTGTAACAGTTACACTAAATTTATTCTTTGTGCAGAATATATATTGGTTTCACATAACAAGGGGTCAAGAAAACCATTAAGTTAATCTTGTTCCAAGTTCCTTTCATTCTCAAAAACAGATAATATCCATTATCATTTGGAAAAAACACTGCTTAGTATTACATGTCGTGTGAGGCTGTAATGAGAATGATCATTCATGTGGGTAATACATGTCGCTCTGAGTAAATGTGAGGTTTCTTGGGAACTAAGGAACATTGCATTTAGAAAATTTGGTACATGGTTTAAGCAGTTGAAAGAGATAAGCCAGTAAAAGCAATCACCCTGTTCAATTAAACAGTGAGTATATGCACATCATGTTTGTGTTTTCTTTGTAATAATAAAGATAGTACATTTTGTTTTACCCTTTGTGTTCAGTCTTGTTATTTCACTTTACACAATTCTGTCAATATTTATGTATTATTATTATCCAGTAATTGATATCTTGATTGAATCTCCAGTTATCTAGTGCACCTATCTGATGTAGTTCTGAAGTTAATTCAGTTTCACATTGTTATTCCACATATGTATCAAAAACCTGTTTAGATACACAAAAATTTGGCAATTTTTAAACCATTTGAACCAGTACTAATTCAACCATAATTGAAACCCAAATAAAAATTATACAAGTTCATTATTATTTTTTAATTCTTAATAAAATAAAACTTGTTTTCAAACAACATACCCAATTCTTTGCACAGTTTTACAACAGAAGAAAACGTTTTCACAGAAAAGTCGACTTTACAGTCCATGAAGCGTAAATCTGGCAACTGAACTCTCAGGATTTTGTGCATTGGAGTGAAATGCAACAAAGCATCTGCTTGAACACCACATTGGTCAAGAGTAGACTTTGTTCTTAGCAGCCATTTGTTCTTTGCTGGCCACCAGAGGGCATGATCTGACCAATCTAAAGTTACATCTAAAACACACAAAAAAATATAATGAACATTAGAAAAGTTGGAATTAATAAATTTATACAAATCCTCATTTTTATACATTACAATAAATGTTAACTTGAAATTAAATATTGACAATTTTTTATCACATATAGAAACAACTAAACCAAACCTCTACTGTTATAATCTGGTTCTTATGGACTGTTACACTTCATAATAACTTCCCAGTTTTAATCTCATAAGATAATGAACAATTAGTGAAAAAATGAACTAAAAATAAAAAACATTGTCATTATAATAGAAAAAAGAATAAAATTAATATATATTTCCTTTTAAACCTACCCACATCTTCTACGAGATTCAACATTACACCACCAATGTGGAGGTCACCTTTAACTCTAATGGCTCTCTCTACTTGCAAGTCAGTCACATAGACCTTCAGGTCCCAAGAACCATCTCCAACAAGGTGACCGTCTGCTATCATGATTCTGTGTTGTATTTAATAACTGTAAAAAGTATCAATGAACCTATTTTTACATTTTGTAAAGATATTGCCATTATTAAATTTCATAATATGGATGCAACACTCAGACTTGAGTGCATTACCACTCCCATTATAATGACTTTTATTTATTTCACTAATATTTCTAAAGCAAGGTTCTCTGATTAGTTCACTTAGTTTATCATAAATAGAGTATATAACTTATTTGATTAGTACTGCATTGTTATCTAAAATCTTGATTGAAATTTCTAATACACAAAAATGTAATATATTATTACACCAACTACAATGGTAAAAACATACTTCGTACATTTCAACCTTAAAACACACAATAACAATTTTCCTTTACAAGTAATCAATAATTAATAAAATGAGTTCAATAACCTGTAAGATACATTAAGAAGATACAGTAGTAATTCTATTTTTAAAACTATATAAAAAACAACAGAAGCTCAAAGGTTTAATGTATAAAACCCATGTTTTGTTTAATGTTTCTAATATTAATTCAACACTAAAGAAAAAATAAAGTGACTATTCATTGATTAGTTCAGAAAAGAATGTTCATGACAGTCAAAATACACATGACTAACACTTTATATCTACCATATTTTGAGTTTCCATCAACTCTTTGTTCAAGCTGAACCATATTTCTACTTATATTATGTATAAATATATTAATTTGTTCTAATTGAATACATTGCAATATCCCACTCATATGTAATTTATTTTCTATTATTATCATCTTAATGAATTTGGTGACATTGATTATATATCAGAAATGTATTAAGCATAAAATTCTCAGACCTTATTGGATGTCACTCTTGTACATACCCTTTAAAACAATTCAAACATGGTCAGTTAGATAGTAAAAAGATAGAAAAAACAAATTAAAATGATTTATATGTTTACATCTTACAAAGCAAGGTAAAAGAAACTGTAGAATTACATATGCATGCTGAGAAATCCAAAATCAAATAACTTAGTGCACTAAGTTAAATTTAAGTGGCACATGACAACAGTCAAGCTTTAGTTTTTCCATTTTCAGCATTTCCTATCTAGATAGGGCTAGTAAACCAGTCTTGTTTATGTAAATAGGTTAACAACTTAACAGTGTTACCTTTCATTATACTGTTATTAGCCTGTGTCTAGTAAATTCATCGTAGTTAAATGAGTAATCTATTTAACAATCAACATTTTCTTTGATGGAATAAAGAATAATGAAGTTTTTGACCTCAGATGGTTGACCTTAGGCCTCACTTGGACTGTGAGTTCCAATACACATGACCAAAATCAATGTTTGATACTAAAGTTCACACCATCCTCTAAGTTTATACCAAAAATCATGCTTGAGATCTTGATGGGATCAGAACGCATTCACTCATCACATTAGGTCATTGTAGTTTACTTTCACTCTTAAGTTCTTAGAATCTTTAATGTGGCCTTTTTCCAGTTACACTGTGGTTAGTTGACCCACTCCAGAAACAATAAAACTAGCTCAATACCTTGCCAGTTCTTATGAATGATGAGTAAACATAAATAAATAATGATGTGTTATTAATTCATACCATAAATCTGATTTGTAAATGACTCATATAAAATTGATAAAAATTAACTTTACCAACTTCATTTAGTTGTTGTTCATGCAATTTTATAACGTAAATAGCATCTCAACCATTAATGTGTCCATTTTACCCCAGCCACCCTGATGACCCTTTGTATTGGGCAAAAGGCCTTGTCAGCACTGGGTATGGCAGATATCATATAGGGATATAGTAAGGTTTACATATTTTTACATTCTTATTTCACTCTTAATTTCTTAAAGTATACCATAAGTTTGTTTATTCCCAATTTCTCAGGCTCCCTTATCACTATACAAATTTAGTTTTTAAACTATCTTTAATGAATAGATTTAAACTTAAAGCTTCCTTAACTATCCTACTATTAAATCTGCTTAAGTGGAGCCTATCACTAGCATATAATTCACCCTCACCATAAACACTATCTCAGGTCCAACCAGCCCACCTTTTGTAAAAAAAAACAGTGAGGAGTTGAATAGTTTATACTGTGATATACAATATTATCAGTATCAAGATGGATATAATACTGAGTGTTATGCCACTGGTAGTCAAATTGTTACAGCAGGTCTTAGCACACTAGTGAGAAGAGAGAGACCCAGGTCCAAGCTCTGTCATGGCAGGTTTCTGAAATCTTGATTTGTTAAATATAATTTAGTGGTAGATTATGAACATAGTCCTACCAAATACATAAAATGTATGGTTATTACCATATTTGGTTGTATATGGCTATGTTAAAGTACAGTAAAATATCCATGTATATGTGTGTGTGTACATTATGTATTTATATGGTGTCTTTTATACACTTTTGAATCTCTAAAATCATTTCCTAATTGTTTAGAAAGAAATGCAAGCTTTGCACATACTATTCATTATATTTTCCCAATAAAAGCTAAATTTGAATCATCAATATTTAATAAACATATCAGTATTAACACTATAAAGTGTCAATTATTTCTCAAATCTTCCCATTTACTTAGTCTCACAAAATTCCAAGTAGGTTACCGATGTCCTAAATAAAAATTTGTTCTAATTGCTAACCAAAAAAAATTAGGACCATCTCTTACAAAACATTCTGGTCTAAATTAACACTGGGTGAGAGTGAAGGCCATTACACAAAACCAACTGACACATTTGAAAAGTTTTTACCATTGAAGTCATGCTGTTGTAAGTTTGTGATATTTGATGAATATTTTAAATTATGTCATTAAATGAAATCTTCATAAAGAAAATTTATTTCAGAGGTAATTTTTATTTCCAATGTAACTTAACATAAATCTTACTTGTAAACCTTTCTAACCAAATACTTCACCTTATAAAAACAATTTTCAGTTTTTTTTAATGACTATTTCTGTACAAAGTGCAATTTAAAATACTATTTCTTGCATTGTTCATCACCCAGATTGGAAGTTGGATATCATTAGTCCAATGGCAGAATTGTTTAAATGAGAAAGCACCTGTCATGTTTACCCATTTAAAATGTCACCTAAAAAAATAAATCTTTTACAAACACATTATAAAACTGATGTTATAAAATAAAAAAGTATAGAATTAAAAATGTTTACAAATTTTGGGTTACAACTTACAATACACTAAAATTAAACAGAAACAATGAACTTTCTTTCTACAAAATCACAAACATGTGGAACACTCAATTATATAATATAAACTTCAGACATTCATGTTTCAAACTGCATGTTCAGTGTCTATAATATATACTATAGTGGATTGATGTATATCTAAGACACATTGGGTGAGAATTTTCAAGCTACTTAAAGCCAACCAATCAATGTTAAAAATTTGTGTTGAAGATGATTAATAATAATAATGATAATATGCAAGTCAACCCCTAATTCAAACAATTCTATATCTAACTTTATACATCTAATTTGTGCATAAGTGTTTTCATAAATTAAAACTATAATGATCACAATAAAAGTTAGATAAATCTTACACAAACTTAAAAGTTAAATAGTAATATCATTAAAAGTACATTAGAAGCATTGCTTCATTGATCTATTTCAGTGTTAAGGTTACAACTTAAGTTACAATGTTACTGTAATCTAAATAATGTGTCAAACTTACCAAGTTTTAACCCAAATGAGAAATTATGAACAAATCTACAATGTGCATGTAACCGGCTTCGCACCTAGTCAGTCAAATCTAACATGAGCTTCTGGTCTACTTTAAAAGTGAAGACTAACCAGTGACACTAATCAGTATGGTAACACTATCGCAGTGTCAGTTATCTTTCAGAGTTTGATGTTGGACTGAGTACTCTAACCTACACAAAATTAAAAAAAGCCATGAAATGAAAGCTGATCTCGGCGAGCTAACAACAGTAAGTCACTGTGCTACTTACTAACATAGTCCCAAAGATTACAAAACTTAAAAGAAAATCAAGGAAATTAAGTGTTATAAACCAGTCACACTGTTAATGTGCTATTATACATCAACAAGTTTATCATTGATATTTAATCACTTACTTGAACAGCTGCAAAAGAATAACACTTCTACCGATGAGATTCACTAACAAATCAGGTCAATTACCATAAAAGGGAAGGCATGGTAGCTAGTGATGGAGCCGCCCTTACTTGTCATTGGATGAACAACAAACCAGTGACGTAAAACTCAAGGAACCGCCTTGATCTCTTGGTAAAGAACACACACAGTAAGCTTGATATTTATGTAAGGAATACGCCATCGGAAGATTTAAATTCGTTAACTGCCTGAGTTCTATTTACGATATTTTATTCTTTTACATCTATCCGCACTATAAATCACTGTTTTCTATAAAGATCCAATTTTTAATTGGATATGCTTGTATTAGTACCAAAAAATTGTGACTTTAAAAGCAAAAAAGTTTACATCATGCTCTACTGAAATAGATTAAGTGATAGACGTGGTTCATATTGATATAAGAAAATTGTTTCTTGCAAAAACGTTTAAAGTGTGTTCTTTTCTATTAGTTTATACATTAAATTTGATGGGCCTAGTAACCAAATAAAAACGTATTGCATAAATTGTGAAAAAGGTGTTTTTTTTTGTTGTTTTTTACTGAATACATTTGCATTTTTCCGTGTTTATTTACATAATAATGAAGCAAACAGTAGATGGGGATGACGTTGAAACGATAGGTAGAAAATATATAGAAATGTTTATACAGCATACTTTCGTTTGTTTAATGAAACAAAAATATTTATTTAGTCCCCAGCTTTCCAGCTAATGGACAGTCGTCAAGTGTAATAGAATTTTCTATCTAACCCCGACAAAGGACTGTTCACCAGTTCGTAAGCTAGAGACGAAATAAACCTTCCATGACAAGATAATACTGGAAATGTGAGAATCTTTGATCACAAGTTTTTATTTGTTTTTTGTTTGTTAGCAAAGCAAGATTGGGCTATCTGCCGTGTTCACCGCGGAGAATCGAACCCCGGATTTTAGTGTTGTAATTCCCACCGGGGTACAAGATCATAAATAAAAATAACTACTAAGGTGTGATCGTGTCTCGCACCTCACCTTTGACGTCATAGCGTTTAAAATAGAAAGACAAACACATTGAAGAAATGGGGTGAACTATATATATATATATTTTACAAACGATTAGTACAATGTTATACGTATAAATATTTTCATGCTGCTTTTGAATTTTTGCTACGAAGTATTTATGGTGTACACTGTAAAGGTTCATTTCAGCCAAGGTTCAGGTGTAAATTCGGGACAAAACACATATTTTAGTCAAAAACCAGCGACATATGAGAGTAGTAAGTTTAAAACAATTTATTTTTCTGCAAAACACCAAAATATTTGACATATTTTTTTAAAGATATGAAACTGTCAGGAGACGTCAATCATCGTCAATAAAAAAAGGCAAACAGCTCATTAGTCTGAGTAAAGCCAATAAGTACAAAAGTCATAAAGATGAAGAAATCTTTATTTTAAACAAAATGTCATTAAAATTATGAAAGTTCAATAATTATACTCTCTTCTCGTCGCCAGTAAGCGCAGTTACGTTCCTTTATCAATCTGGCAGATTTCTTGCGACATCGTACAACATATTATGATATTTTCAGTTCGAAACAGATTTCCTAACAGGTGTTAGGTAGAATTTTTTTGCAATAACGGCAGGGTTTTCTAGAACATTTGCGATATTTCTTGTGACTGAGATATTTAGATTGTGTGTTGTTGTTTTTTATGTAGGAACAAACAGGCAGGACAAACTTTATTATGAATAAACGGAATCTTCGTTCAAACAACAACAACAACAAAAAAAGATTTGTTTGTTTGTTTGAAGTTAAGCACAAAGCTACACAATGGGCTATCTGTGTTCTGCCCACCACGGGTATCGAAACCCGGCTTCTAGCGTTGTAAGTCCGCAGACATACCGCTGTGCCACAGTATACTCACTGACGACGAAAAGTCTTCACCCCTGCTTCCCTATCTCCTGGAATCGAATACTCAGCAGTAGAAGAAATGTCTTAGTTTATCCTAGGCTCAAAATGCAGACTGGAATATTTTTGCGGGTAGAAGACGCCATCTAACAAAAGAACAAAGGAATAAGGTGGCTAGAATGAGATATTGTTCGATATCTTTGATCACATGCTGTCTCCATGATAGTACGTGACTGGTTAATAATCTAAAAAAATATATTATTCCACTATACACGATTGGAAACTTTGTCATGATTCTCACTGAAATAAGTGTCTTGACACTTCTTGTAATTAGTGAGACAATAAGTTCCAATGTTTAGTTTAACTTAGCTTTTTATTATTATTTTTGTTGTTGTGGGTAAACTGTATGCATACTAATACTATCTGCTCGATTGTTAATTTCCGGTATAAATTCTTTCTGAGGAATTTCAGCGATACAAGTCCTTTCTTAATTAAAACTAGTTTATTCTTTCTCTATACAACTTTGTAATACACAGAATTTC